GAGCACTTTTACAGAATCGGAGGGCCCCTTGAAGACCCTTTTCAGGCTCAAGCAACTCAAGACAAGGGGCCACCAGCTCCCCTGAATCCCTCGCTAGAGCAGGGGGCCACGAAAGTTCGAGGCTACCCGCTGATGAGTGGAGGTGATTCTGCAGATAGCAGCATGCGGCGGCAACATGAAAATATTCACGAATCGCAACATACAAGAACCGCAGCAGAAGTAGCAGCAGCAGCGGCAACATCGGGAGAAACTGTAGCCGCCATTCATCCTGGTCCACATGCATTAGGTGCTGCTGCCAATGCAGCTGCTGGCACACCTGATGGGGCAACGCATCAAGAGGCAGAGCTCTACATTATTTGTTGCAACACCGTAAGACGTCTGTACACATGAGGAACGTCTTCGTTCACATTATTTGTTGCAACACCGTAAGACGTCTGTACACATGAAGAACGTCTTCGTTCACACAGGTCTCTAGAGTCACTTTAGTACGTTTGCATAATTCAGAGCAACACAGACGAAGAATGCGACGCGTTGTAGTGTAAGTGCAACGTATTTGCCGGCTAATATGTGGATGTAGGAGCAGCATGCATTCAGCAGAGGCAGCGTGTATATGCGCCTAAGGAATGCATACATGCATAGTCCCGCATAAGGCCTGTGGTTTAGTGGCTCTTAGATGTTTGCACAGTGCGCAAGGTTCAAGAGACGTGGGGCACTCGTGTGGTGTCTTTGCATGAAGATAGCAGGCGCTCTGCCGGGCATATGCGGGCACGGATGCATCTGCTTTACGTGCGCTGCTACCTGCATTTACAGGTGGCCTGACATTGCAGTAGCCGTGGCAGTAGCTAGACTGCCTGCAGCATGAAGGTCGTCTTGTCTGCACAGCGCTGTAGCGGAGCTGGAAGCAACACGAATAGCTCCGCTGGTCTTCACACGCTGCGTAGTATGGCCACGTGACAGCAGTTGAATCGTTTAGGAAGCACAGCGAGTAATGTGTAAGCAGTCCGGTGTTTCATCTGCCGTCTTCCCCTGCTTCAGTTCTGCATGCAAAACGCTGCATGCAGCTTAGTCAGTATTAAAGAGACCGAAGGGCCCTCGAGTAGGCTGAGCAGGCTCAGGGATATAGCATGCACCAAAGGCCCTCGACTATTAAAATGGTTTACTCCGTGAGAACGGGTGGGCGATGCCCGCGTTATATATTGCTTTGAACGTTCGTGCTTTTTGGCTTCCCGTGTGCACCGCTCCGTAAAGCGGGCTTGACGTGGTCAAAATGCCTCCTTGCGTGTAGGAGTCCCAGTTTACCGACAAGCCACAGAGTATGGATGCGTAGGCAATGCATAGAGTCAGGGTTCTAGCCGACCCTTCAAAGTGCTGGACATATTATTAGCACGAATACGAGGAAGCAGCGATGCTGGCTACTTCTGGTTACTTTTGGTCTTGTTGAGAACCGAAACGGTGTTCGTGCTGCCTCCTCCCGGGCCTGCCTGCACAACACCCTCCCGCCCTCTGCACTTGTTCGTTTTGACTCGCAGCTAGCAGCAAGCCGTCCTCCGTCACTGCTGCACTTGTCGGTACCTCTCACTTCAACATTGCTTGCGACTGCAGTGGCTGGCAAGCAGTACACCGGATATAACGCTCGAGAAGAGCCTCCAAATGACCATCGCTCCAGTTCATGTAAACGCCTCCTTGCACAAACACCAACTGGATGTCGTCTGTTATCCCTGATGGGACACCGAAATTCCTTGACGTGAGTGCAGCAGCAAATCTGCATAGGCAGCAACCTTCGGCTTCCTTGGCTGCTGGGGCTGCCTCATATGATTTTGTGTGCGTGGAAGTACCGCACCAAATAGAAAATGCTCACTAAGGTGCATGCACACAAAAGCAGCAGTTGCAACACAGAAAACCACACGACGCGGCTGTTGATCGCCTCGCTTGTCTTCTGGAACTTTTCCTCCTGCACAGGACAGCGCAGTACAAAAGGAGGCATTTCAGCATGTGCACCAAATGTGGGTTTTGTCACACATTCAACAGGAATCACTCTGCTTCTTCCCCCGATGCTGTAACCATACAATCCTACATAATCTGGATGAAAATGCAAACTGAAGCCCGTTTTCACGCTATACCTGCACACGCTCATAGTCATTCTCTGCCTGCATCGCCTCCACCCGACGGGCAATAGCTTGGAGTTTCAAATGGACGCTGTTCACATGGTCCTTCTTCGCAAGGTCCTGAAGGCGACAAAAGGAAGTAAAAAGCAACGACATATACACACACACATATACAGGGGCCACAGAAGAAACGAGCCATTTGGAAGGTGAGAAGCAGCAAGACGATCACAAGCTCGAGAGATAGTAACGGAAGGCACAAGAAGAATTAAAACAGCTCAAGCGGGAAAATGAAAGGAACTACAACGAGTTGCTGCCACGTCCGGAACTTACGTCAATGTTGATGTCGGTGTCGCCCAACTCAATAGAGAGGGACCACTTGAGTAGCTGCGTATTGAACCACTTGGAAGAAGCGCAGGAAATGCAAACCTGATACTCCCCCGTTGTCGTTGTCATGTGGGTAACTTTCCCCTCCACATCTGCCGGAAGCACCTCCCTGCTGTATGCGCTGCGGCCACTCGGGTCCTTGAAGATAATGCTGCAGGTCACGCCTGAGCCAGAAAAGTATGAAAACCAGAATAACGGATTCAAAAGACCAGAAAACACTGCACGCAACCCCCCAGAGAAAGTCTAGCCATGTTTTTATGAGCTTCAACCTTGCCGAAACAGCCAGCAGGCACCGCTCAAAGGCGGTAGACAGACGCAGGCCAGCTTGCACCTTACCTGGGTTCTCATGGTTCTTATAGGAAGCAGTAAGCGCCACGCCAGTCGGAACGCTCTCTATGAAGCATTTATCTTGCGACTCCTGCACGTAAAAATACGCTGCCGAAGCAGAGTAGGCGGAGCAAGCCAACGCCACGATGAAGGCCGCAGCAGCTCGCAGCGCAGGCGACCCACAAATCCTCTGAGAACCCCTCATTGACTGCGTTGGATGAGATGTAGAACAACAAGTTCGGACCAACAAGAAAACGCCCGAACCTGCACGCGGTCGGGTTGGGAGAAGCGGCAGCTGAGGGGTAGAAGTGGGGCCAAAGGCTTCCTGGCCGTCCGTGCGCTTAAACTGCAACACTACAGAAATTCCCAAGGGACCGACAAAAAACTAACAAATTATACGGGGCAGGAGGACGCCGTTCTCAGCTGTCTCGGCACCTGGAGGCACCCCTCAGTGAGACAGCGCCTTTAGTGCCGCGCAATACACTAGGCATGGAACTCAAAGAAGATATCGAAAATAATACTGAAAAAACAACTTGTGGTGGAAATTAGCTCAACTACCTAACTATCTAGCACCTGGCCGCTGCCTAGAACGAACAAGACACTGGTGGCATCCTTGGGGCTGGCTAAGCCCTTGCCGCCAAATGCAGGAGCTGCGCCCCCGAACAGACTCGAGCAAAACGAAGGAATTTCAGCACGCCTATATTATTTGTACTATAAAAATATATAATTAAGATGTAGGACGCTAAAGAGCTAATACCCCGACGATGCCTAGCCCCTGTGGGCCTAACATCGCCTGCCTGAAGTTAGTACGTAAATTTTTGCCCGCGTGCAGGCTGGTCACCGATGGCCAAGGAAGGAACTACAAATTGTCCTGTATGTTGGTGAATCCGGAAAAGGATCTTTGTTTTTGATTGCATGTGGAGTTGTGGAATGTGGGTTGCCAGTCTTTTCCGTCGAATGAACTGCCTTTGCATAGTTGTACCTTATGTGGGATGTTCGCGAGTCTCGGAAGTGGCCACAAGAACCCTGACACTGAACTCGTAGGCAAATGCTACGCAAGCAAAAGTGCTCAGCAACTGTCAACAATGTGTGTAACATGGCTCGATGGCCTCCTCCGAGGACTGCTGTAAGCAGCAATAGAAGCAAAATAATTTAGAGTTAGTTACTTAAACCAAACTACCTCCCCAATCTGCAAACGCCCTGAACTCAGCTGACCAATCACGTGGAGATGCGGAGGAGGAGGTGGTCTACCTTGAATTACAGTTAACGGTGTTGCAACAGGGTGCAAAGCAACCTCATACACATGCACAAACAAGCTTGCTTAGCTGTATGCATAAACAACGTATACAGTTGTTCAGAAACTTTGGTTGCGCACCCTTTGTTTTCTGGGACCGGTTAAGGGTTGATGCGCACAGTTTGCAGGCTTCCGAAAATCGCAAGCAAATGCTCCACCTACACACTCCCAACCTCCACCCCCAAACTCGCACAATCAAAACGAGGCCTCGTGTGCCCTTGCCAATCCTGGAAATGGCGGTCTTGGCTTGTTATTCTCTGCGATTGCTCTGCAAACAATCTGAAGGCTTCCCCGCCATTCTTTCTCTACCACTGGATGCTATTCCCAGTCTCCACAGGTTCAATGCCCAGCTCATTTTAAAAGCCGTTATCTTCCGTCTTAGCTTCGGCGGCGAAAGTAATATTTTTCCTCTCTATCCATTATCTTGGGAAGGTCGGCTCTCTCACCAGTCAGTTCGCTCTCAGCGGCATAGGCATCTACTGGATGCTTTCCTCCACGGGGCAATCCCGCTGTGAGCCAGATACGGCATATTCGAGCCCACTGTTGGACTTCTGTTCACTAGCAGCTGATATGCTTCAGTACGACTCTCTATCGGTAGCTTCCCTTGATTATACTTCACCAACTGCGCTACAACCTGTTCCCTTGCTGAGAGAGCAGTGATTCTTCATTAATGTACTTAGGAGGTTTACATAGTAAAGATGTGTTTGGGGACAACAGTACCCTTACCTAGATACAGTCACCGTTCTCGTACCTCAACATCTAATAACGAAGCTCCCAATAGGGACTGTACCTCTCCTTGTGGTTGTTGGAGAAGAAGATAAAGCCCTGGATAGTCAAGGAACTCTTCCAATTCACCTCCAGATCGGCAGTCATATTAGGTTTTTTGGGAGCATTGTCCATGCAGGATAAGTGAGTGAATGCATATTTTTTTAACACACCTTCGACACTGCTGACAGTTAGGAAGGAGTCCGTCGTGGTGGAGTCGTCATGTTCGTACCTGCAGCATGCGGTGCTACCAAGTGTGACGGTTGTTTTCTTGCATACCCGCATCTACTAAGAGCTGCACCCTAGTGCTTAGAATAAGCGTGCCTTAACAGGAGCCGAAACCATCTCCCCAACATGCCGGCGCCGTGGGCAGCACAAACTAAGAGCGTGCAGCTGCAGGAGAGGGCACAGCCGCCAAAAGAATTGCGGCACACCACGCTGCGGCCCGTGCAACAGGACAGCAACGCAAGCAGATACAGCACAAGCTAGGTATTCTTTGCTGCATTCACTTGCGCTGTAGGGAATTATTCACTACCTACTTGCTTGCAGGACTCCTATTTGCGCGCAGGTTGTCTACCCTAGCTGAATGAGTCTTCATGATTCAGGTGTGGACAGGATTTTCTACGTTGCTCCAACTAACGATGCATGACAGCCTCACGGGGAAACACAAACTAGCCTTGGTTGTTGCATGCACTAACACTGTACACAATTTTTGAAGGTTTATGCTGGAGTTTCGGTTGCCTACTAACAGCATACAAGCTGCGTGCGCCACCTTCTGAGAGGCTTTGCTGTGTTGGTTGCATAGTCTGCCAGATGTCGTCAAGTCTTCACAATTTTTGAAGACTTCTGCTTGCGTGCATGCTGCATACTAAGTGCATGTACAGGTTTATGCGCAGAATTATGACAAACTTGCGAACATTGGACAGCGTATGTTACACCCAACGGCAGCCCTCAACCAGCCTGTCGCACTTGTGGCCCCTTTGCGGGTCACCACTTTTACATATTTCCCCACTCCTGAACTTCTGTTTGTAAGGGTATCAACAACTTTTAATGACTTGAATGAGCTAACCAAAGAGACAGTAAGGACGCACAAGATCATGCTCTCGACGCTCAGCGAGTGAGCGGCTCGGCGTGGCTGCGCTTGTCGGTTCCCTCGGGGCTGCGTTCCTGCAAGGCTGAACTCGCCTACGAGCAGCTTATGAAATTTAAGGGGGAGCTTGTTCTTTGCTATTCTACTCAAATTACCCGGGCATTTGTCTCCCCATATCGGAAGGAGGGAATCATCCCTCGTCCTCGTTTCTCGCTCCACTGCTCCATTGGCTGCCCTCATCTGCTGCTTCAAAGCTGCGCGGCAGCAGCGTACCCCCTTTTACTTTTCCATTTTTACGGAATTTCAACATTATACCGCATGGTTTGACTGGGGAAAAGCCGGTGCCATAGCGGCCGCACGCTTTTTTGTTCGCCCTCGGCGAGCGGAGAGTGGATCCGGTGAGGGGGCTTGACGTATGTGCTTCTCAAGCCTGCACTAGTATTGCCGTTCACACATTAGGAACTGCGCTGAATGATCTCCTAAAGTCGGCATGCCCGCTCCCTCCCTCACAGCAGACTGCCCCCATGGGGGCTGGGGTCGAGCAGCAGCAGCGCCAGCCGCAGTAGGAGGGCCCTCCCCAGTTGGAGCAGGAGCCCGAGGAGCAGAAACAACAGATGCAGTGGCAGCGTTGTCAGTGCCATATGCACGGGGAGGTCGAGGATTCCGTCGGGCAAGGCTGTCTCTTCTTTACCCTGTTTTTCTTTTGGTGTTGTTGAAGTTGAATAGATGCTCGTACTGTGTGGCGGGAGAAGGAGCTCCCCCCGAAAGCCCTTCTTCTGAAGATGACAGTAGAGATTCAAATGGAGAGCGGAGCAACAATCACCCGCCGGCACCAAAACAACCCGGACAACCTGGTGGTGGTGTCCCTGTCCCCAGCGTTTTCCAGGTTGCTGCAGATGACATATCTTCCCTCTTGCGTTTCTCTCCTCCCATGCACTCAGCAGCTTCTTCTATGGGACACCGCAGTATCTCGCCTCCTGCGCTTCTTGATCGCCGCCCTTCTGGTGCAAGTCCCGCTTCTTCAGGGGCCGTTGTGGTGTCCGAGATGTTGGAGCCATATGCTTTTGGCCGCGTAGGCGCCTCCTTCGGCAACGTATTGGTACTCACGGATGTAGACGACACATTGTGGTGTTCGGGGTCTATGGCAGCCTTCGGCAAACACATCGGAGGCATAGACAGCGAGCTCGGACGCGGGCTGCCGTATCCTGCCATAGGGACCTTGCTTTTTATGCTAGCTCTGGGTCCCCACACTTGCACCCCCAGCGGCTTGCGTATACCTATCGAGCATTGTCCTGTGCCTCTCCATTCGCCACAGACGCAGAATTGCCCGTATGACTTGCAGCAGCATACAGTACAGCATTTATTACCGCGGAATGCCGGCGTTCTTTCCGCTAGAGTCTCCACTTCGCTCTTGGCCCAACTCACGCGTCCCCCTTCCTTCTTCAAAGACATCGACGCAATTTTTACTAGCGGTGTGCGGCAGCTCTACGGTGCTGGCGCTCCGCGGTGGCCTTTGGGGTATCAGAACCAAATCAAGTTCGCCCAAGTATTGTCTTCGCAGCACTCTCGAGGGGAGGCCAAAGTGTGGGGGTTCACGGAGGCCATAAGCAGTGGAGGGCCTGCAGTGGTGCTGGGAGACACAGGGGAGAAAGATCCAGAAGCTTCCGCAGCCATGGCTGTGAAATACCCGGAAGCAGTTGCAGCAGCGTTGCTGCACGCCGTCTTTCTTGACAGACAGAAAGAAATAGATGCTGGGGGTGGCAGGCTGCGAAGAGATATGCCCAAGCACATGATTCCCTTTGTTATGCGGTGAGCCTATATTGAAACAGTTTTGGTAACACGTGAAGAGCTCGTTAGGGCTGATGGCTCGTTAGGACTGATGCGTGCCCAGCTTCTCGTGCGTGTGTTTATTCGGGTGCACCGCTTCTTGTTGCTTCTCTTTCATTTCGACAGCCCGTTGTATAACTGACGGGCTCGTCAGCTTGTTCGTTTGAATCTGATGCAGCGTCGCTGGGCTCAAGGTGCCTGCAGTGCAGCTGGTTTACGAACTCGTAGTGAAGGTGCGAGGGGGCGAAGAGCTGCAGTCCTTCGGAGATCTGAGCGACGAGGTGGCTTATGCTGCCGGCGTCCAGATAGCGGCGGACGTACGCCAACTGTTTAAAGCGGCAACAAGGAGACAGCTTCTGGCAACAGAGGCACGGGCTAATGGGGAGCCCAGCTTGTCGCCTCTCCCGCCACCTCTGGTATTCGTCCACGTTACGCAGCTGCACACGCAGGTTATAGAAACGCCACAAGAAGTTGGTGTCGCTAGTCAGCTAGCGAGCTTCAGCAGCAAGCTAGCCACGAAGGTCAGCAGGTGGTCGGCGAAGAGGTTTTCACAAAACCCGGAGGTTATCGAAATGGCAGGTGAGCCCGTTTCCGGAGCCACAACTGCCGCCTGTTGCGGAAATATGTGATTCACTCTACTTTGAGGCTTGAGTTGGTCCATGGACTGCCGTTTCTTGCCAGAGGAAATGTTTTGAAGGATATAGTGTACAACTGGCTCTTGCTTGGATGGATTCTTGCTGAGGTGTGCTTTTTATTTTTTTAGGTTTGGTTTTTGTTGATTGTTTCGAACTGCAGGTTTCCGCCAACTAGCCGAGGTGCATCCCGTGTTCTTGCAGTCGCCGTTGCAGCGGGTATCGCCGCATGGCGTTCGTTACCCGTTAGGTGTCCCCTTTGCCAGTTATCGTACAGCAGTGGGGGCTGCCTTTGCCAGCTGGGCCTTGGGCATGCTCACGACCCAGGACGTGATGTCCCTCATTGTGGCGGCTGTTAGAGATTTGCGCTCTTTGGGTCCTCCAAACCACTGCTGGCAAAGGACTGTTGTTCATGAGATGCTTGTCGATGTCCTGGTGAGCGAGCTGTCGATCTGCTTGTGGAAATACCTGTCTGAGTTCGGCAGGCATCTTATGATGCCATGCTAGGGTAACTTTCGGTTCTTGCGGTGTTTTGTTTCTTGTTTCCGTCTCGTCTGTTTCGCATATCTCCTGTGGTATATATATATATATA